AGAATTCTCTAACTTGATTCTCCGATTGAATCTTGTTAGCTCTCGGCCATCATGGGTTGAACTCCCCATTTTTTTTGAATTTTCTCTTGATCGCTTATCCTCTTCTTTTGGATTCGCCTCGGCTATCGACTTTCTTATCGATTCTCAGCTCCCTTTTTGGTCGTCGAGGTCTGGTCACCTCGTTTTCACTTTCATCACTTTGCCTCGCTGCCTTGTGCCTTCTCTGCCTCGGTGAGTCTTTACAACCTGTTGTTAAACAACAACACAACATCTAGCACAGCCAACAACACTAGCAAGCAAGCACGCAAGCTTAACAAGCTACACAGCAAATCCTAGAGGACAACTCTAAGACAAAGCAAAGACTCTACGAGGACTTGACAAGGACAATCCTAGCACGCAATCTAAGCACACAACCTAGCAAGAAATCTAAGCACACAACCTAGCAAGCAATCTAAGCACACAACCCAGCAAGCAAAACTTCTAGGGCTCTAACACTAGCCTATCAAGGGTAAGGAAACTCTCCGAGAAAAGTTCTAAGGTTCAAGGCTCCTAGCATGCATCTTCAAAAGAAAAGGTTTCGGGTTCCTTACTCGGATTTTGTTAAAGGAAAGGTTTGGCTAAGAAGGCTTGGAGGGAAAGCTCGAATAATCATAAGAATATTCAACGCTTTGCAAGTACATCCGCTGTACAAGTCCAAGCTAACAAGGCTCCTAATTTACAGAATCTAGTCGATAAGACATAGATAATAAAGCTACCCTTAGCCCAAACCTAACAAAAACTTACTACCCATCCCTTACTAGTCGCGGAGACTTTTGCACTCTTCACAAGAGCAGAAGCTCCTCGGTTGCAGAGGCTGCTCCGGTTGTGGATCAACGGGTAGGACTGGTGTGGTGGATGCAGCCGACGATGGTCCAACTTCAGCGGTTGGCCCTCTAGCGATTGGAAGTGGGCAAGTAAACGAATAATGCCCATATCCGTGACAGTTAAAGCACATGACGTACGACGGCGTCACCGGAGTCAAAGCATCAAGTCTCGGAGAGTTTACGGTTCGGTGGCCGATCGACCCACACGAACCGCAAGGAATGAAACCTGTCCGATGATTCCATGTAGAGTTCCTTACAGATTTTCGGGCGGATGCCCTCGTTCTTGGTCCTCCTCTTGCCGATGGCTCCACAAAGCGTGGGACACGGCTTTCCCTCTCGTCCATCAATCTCGGGCGCTTCCGGATAGGCTCTCCTTCAAGTCGGACTCTTGTCTCGACAAGATCTCCTTCGGCCACCATTTGGTCGACCAACTCCATCAAACGATCTCGGGGCTGATCCTCTCCAACTCTCCTTAGGCGGTACAACGAGGCTTCATTACTTAATTCTGCTTCCAACATCATCGGGTCGAACCTTGAAATTGGTTCTTCTTCTTGTTGCTCGGGCGCGTTGACGTTTAAGTCGGTCAACGCAACTTGGGTCTCGGCAGCTACTGGTTCACTTTGGTCGGATGGTCGGACTCTCACTTCGATCGTCATCAAGGTTGGGTCGCTAGAACTGGTTGCGACAACTTCTAAAATTCCTTTTGCTTCTTCTTCTTCTTCGGGGGTAAGAGACTCGAATGACTCGGACGTCTCTTCCTTTTCTTCGCTGGATCGGCCTCCACTCGATCCTCCACTGCTTCCGTTGGCAACTTGGTCGTTCAACATTTCGGGAATGGCTTCTTCTTCGATAGGGTCTACATCTTGGGCTGCTACTCGATCATTTCCCTCTAAGTTTGGCACTTGGAACATCCCCATCAAAACTTCATTCGATGTTCCAGCTGATTCTCCCATCAATTCAGC